CGGGCGGGCTGACAGCGGGCCCGGCAGCGCTCCTCGGCGTTCTGAGAGGGGGAGGAGGGAAAGTTCCGACGACTTTGGCGGGCAGCGAGCAGCAGCCGTCGAGTTAACATCGATCGGGAAAACCGGCCGCGGTTGCCCGGTGGTTTCGGCTTTGATGGTGTTACCAGCGCCGGGGCTCGCCCCGCCGGGTCCGGTGGCGGGGGTTGAGGGAACCCGCAGTACGGCGTGCTGAAATGCCGCCTGTGGCAAATTTACTTTCGGTGACAAACTTTTACGGGCAAAGCATAAATTACGGGAGCTTTCTAAAAGCCTGAAAATAGCTGAGGGACTTTTCACATTTGTTTTTAATCTCTTGTCACTCAAAGATCTTCTATATTAGTCGTATTAATTTTCTATTACATTTCCAAAGCAGATTGAGATAAGGACTTTAAAGTAAACAGGAAGACTTTCAATTAGTTGTGGCTAATTCTGTTCAATTGCCTCGTCTGGAGGTCATGCTGCTTTACTCATGAAATGTGGATGGCTGTATTGACACCATATGGAACGGAACATAGGAATGGCTCTGGGAGTTGAATATTTCCAGGAGTGGTATAGGAAAGTGTGAGGGGAAAGAAACTTTTTTTTTTTTTCCTTATGTGATTGAAGTATACGAATCACATACCGGATCTGCTCTACATTCAACAACTGGTTTTGCTTCCTATTAAATTTCATCCCTCCTGTTCTTTTGAACTATTTCAGTACGCTAACGTAAGTTTTCTGACAAAACCTAAGGGGTTTTTTTTGATACTCAGCTAAGCTTCATAGCTTAGTTTCTTGGCTAAGCTTACTTCAGCACTGTTAAGTAAAAATTCAGGTGTGACAGCATGCTACACAAAAAAAAAGGGGGGGGGGAAATCACAGAACTTTCATTTTGAGACTCGCTTTAAAAAGCGTTTTGCGCTAGCAGTAATCCAAATTTGTCTTTCCCACTTATTTTACTGAGAGGCAATAAAACACATTGCAGGGCTTTTTTGCTAGCACAAGGGAGGTTTTTATAATTAGAATTCCCATGGTAGTGTAAATTGTCCTTATGTAAGTTCACATTCCTTTAAAAGTGTGAGAAAATAAGTTCCACTTGTATAAATAAGCTTTGGTCTGTTGTAAGAAACCCTGCTGTGATTACTCATTGGACAGCTGTGTCACTCGCTCTTAAACTCAGAGGAGTACATCTTTGTAGGTGTCACCAAACCATGTGGTCTGGCCGCTTTTGTGTAAATATTTCTTTTGTTTGTGTCAAATGCCTTAGAAGTACCCTGCTCTTTCTTCCTTCCCCTCTTCTTAATAAGAGAACAAGGAAGAGTGCGGCGTTGTCTGTCACCTCCAGCTACCCCAGCACTTGGAGCTGGGATTGCGCAATCTCTAAGATGATAATGCGTTTCAGTTTTACATACGCAAGAAAGGTTTGACTAGCCTGGATTATTGTTGCAACAAACTGTGCGCACTTAAAAATTGTAAAAGACTGTTTATGAATTTTATTGGTGTATGTTTACTGGGTTTTCCATGGAAGTCCATAGCGGGTATAGCCAAAGGCTAGTAGTTTAATTGCAGGCTTTCCAATCCTCTTTAGAAAACAACAACTATTACACCACGTTCTTAATGTACACAGGCGAGATCTCCCAAGCAGGAGAGTGAAAGCTCTTGTGCCTGAGAAGGTCTAGGCCCGTGTTAGGCTTTACACCTTCCTCTGCCCGTCTGTCTGCTCGCCCAGATGGGAGAGCGTGTTGGATGAAGTGGGTTTTTTGAAGCTCCATTTCACTCTTTCATGCCTTTTGTGGTCAAGTCCCCCAGTGAAATAAAATGAGAGTGTCTAATGCGGAAAGGCTGCATGACCTCAGAGTGGACAGGAGGGAAATAAAAAAAAAAAAAGCTCAGTACTCAGGCTCTTTATGTCACCTTCTTTTTGGTGGCAAGTGTGAGGCTACTGTGTGGCTTCACAAAATGGGGTGTAAACAGGCTATAATTGCCAGCTTTACTGTTATTTTAGCCGAAAACACCATCTTCTGTAACCCCGCCTTCATGGAAGATAACAGTCTGCTGAAAACTGATAAACATTTGTAATGGCTTTGTGTGGAAATAGTTTGGAAGTTAGATTTCCATTTACTTCCAGGATGTGTGTCCCGAGATTGCAAGAACGTGGCTTTGTTGGAGCTGGTGTAGCAGAGGTGGAGGGAGGGAGGAAGAGTGTTTGAGCGTTGGCCGGTGTCCTCCGGGTGTGCAAACTCCCAGTGGCACTGCCGTACCCCTCGCCAGGTTCACCGAGGAATGCTAAAACTGTCGGTGAGGTGGGAGGGAAAGTCTGAAAGATGGTTTTCACTTGTGTTTGTATTACATCTTTAGTATTTACATTTTATAAATCCTCTAGTTCTCTACCAGCATTGCCAGCAAGAAAGGCCGTATGGTTTTCACAGCTGTTTTTCAATATTTTCCAGACTAAAACTTGAACATAGCAAGCTGATTTATGAGTCACTTTGGATCAGTGTCTTAAAACAGCTACAGCCTGGCTTTTTGTTTTTCAGCTCTCCCGATTTCTGCTGAATTAGCAGCTCTATAGGCCCCAGTGGGACTGATTAAGAAGCTGTTGCTGGATTTGCATTTTAAAATTTGACTTGGGGCTCAGGTTTCCGAGTTCTCTAAGGAAGAAGATGATAATTGTGACTAAGTGTTGTAAATTAAGTTAGAGTCTAAAAGTTATATTTATAAAATGTGTGAAGAAACACTCGCCCTCTCCCTTTATGCATTAGGCCTTCCTTTCAATTTTTTGTCACACAAGCATCGATGTTCAGAGTTACGTTTCAGTTTTCTGACGCAGAGACTTGCGAGTTACAAAAGATGGTCATGCAAACGTAATGGAATATAGAAAATAGTTTCTTTCATAAAACGGGTTCTTAAAGGGCCTCAAAAACTATGGCATGCTTTTTCAAGTGGAGGCAGTTCTACTCAAATGCTCGATCACTTTTATTAGAAATCTGAGGTGAAGAACAGGTATATATACTTTTTATTGTTATAAAGAATTTCTTAATATAAGTCTGGTTTCTGAAGTTTCTGAGTACATTCACTGCTATATGTTTCACGGCTTTTGAAATTCTAGTAGCAAAAGTAATCACAGAGGAGATTTTCTCCCCACTTGTGAAGTGGTTTTAACAGACAAGGAAAATTCAGAAATGGAAAATGCATAGTAATAATCTTAGTGTTTTAATGTTGTCAGTTCCATTTCTGTGAAGGAAAAAACACCAGTTCATTTTCAAATCTTTTCTTCATACTTGTTTTAAGATACATTGAGAAATGCATTGGACTGAAATGTACTTGTAGCTTTGCGACAGGGATGATAGATTTTTATAATTGAAAAATGCCTCAGATCCAGTAGAAGTTTTGAAAACTATAGGCTTAAGCTTCACTTAAAAGTATTGGTAAAAGACAAATATTTTAACTCTTGGTTCACTTCCAACCACTCTGATTTAACTTAAAAATCTAACTTGCAGGGCTTTTTGTCCTGAAGTTTCTCATGCCAGTAGTACTCAAATGGTGTTTAATAAAATATTTATAATTCATATTTTATCCAACGGTTGGTAGACAAGCGTGTATACAGCTGTGTGAAACAGGCAATTCAGTATTGTCTGGAGGGGTTTTTTTTTTGTTGTTGTCATTTTGCTTTGGGTTTTTTTGTGACTTGTGCTTGACAACCTGCTGTAAATAAACCAGGAATGAGGAATTTGTATGTACGTATTTTTTGAAGTAGGTGCTATGTGGAAAATCTGAGGGTATCTTTAGTGTTAAAAAACAAACACAAAAAAAAAATTAGTTTGAAACATAGTGTAAGTTGTTACGCTCACGGTTGCCTTGATAGACTCCAGATGGATGTGAGCTTGAGCTATGAGTGAAAGTGTCTGGCTCCAGTGTGGTGATCATGCACAGCAGTGGTTGTAATTGCAGGATTTTTATAGTTTAAGGACTCTGCCAGATTTTTTTTTTTTTTTTTAACATGTTGTAACTCCAGCAGAACAAATCTACTCACGTCTGTTACTGTCTGGTAGGTCCTTTAGGCAAACATGTTTTAAATAAACCTTTTGCAGGCTTTTTAGATGAAATGAAGAAATGCAGGTTTTTAGCACTAATGTTGAAACTCTTTGTTGAAATAATTACTGATTCCTCAGTCTTGTCTGAAGCATGAAGAACAGTAACATATTAGGTACTAACAGCCATAACTTTACTAAATTTTGGCTGTTTATTTGCATAGTTCTTATAATCCCTACAGACTAAGGCCAAATATTGAATTAAGTTTGAGGGTAAAAATTGTCGCTACTCTGTCTGCTTTAAAGGACCAAGTTAGATTCCCATGTAGATCTTTGTAACAGCATATTTTTTCATTATTTACATTTAAGAATGCAGTATGAGAATTTCAAATCTATGCAGCTAATGTCCTTCAGACAAAGGGATTTTTCTCCAGTCTATGGCCAGAGGAATGTTTGCACTAGATTTTTAAGCAGTGGAAGATGCAGTCCTCTAACTGAAGTGTGGTTAACCTCATTTACAGGAGAACTCAAAATCATAATGATGAAACTAACTTTTGTGGGTTTTTGAAAATGTTAACACTGTATTGGTTTTCCATCTTTAAGAGGAAAATCTGTAGGGGTTTAGACACCTGGAAGAAGGCGCAGATATGTATTAGGTGTTTGAGTCCAGAGCTGGGTCTCAGAAACATCCCCTCCGTGGCCACCTGAAGGTAATGGAGGGTGTTCCCCTTCTCTAGGTGGCTCCCCCTGCCCCAAGCCCTCAACCCCTCTTTTTTGTGCTGGAAAATGCCTTCCCCACCTGCGGGCCTGCCCTGCGCAGGCTTGGGAAACATAGCACGTATCTTCTCCCTGCCCGTGGCCGTGAGCCAGGCACTGGTGCCACAGCTCTGCAGCCTGCTGGGCCTGATCCAGTTGGCTGGCTCAGAGCACACCTCGTAAACGAGTACTGGTGGTACCCCTCGTAATGCCCGTATGTGCCTGGGATTATTTTTATTGTTTGATTTTTCTTTTTTTTATTTTTTATTTTTTAACCGCTGACTCCAGGGGAGGACAAAAGGGATGGTAGAATTGTCCTGGCAACATTGAACAAGTACTGCATAAAGCACCAAACAGTTAGGGGAGTCTAAAATGTGGTTTTGCCGTCCCCACGTGCTGTCGAAGAAACCTAGATGCTTGGCTGGGTTGCAGCATTACACCTGTGTCCAAGGATATGCAATGGTGGGTGCAGAGACACCTGAGTTCTCTGGATCTGCAGTTGTTCAGGGCTTAGTCACAGAGCAGAACATCTAGCATGGACGCTGAACCTGGCTTGATTTAAGCCAGTTCTGGTCTGTGTGCAGTAAGGATACACTGATCATCAGGTTTCTTCACTTCCAGAACTGTAGATGGAGAGTAGACACCATCCATGGCAGTCAGGCCTGTGTTTGGCATGTTCAGTATAGGTGACTGTACTAAGTCATATTATCCAGAAAAAGTAATGAATCCCGGGAGTTTCCTCATAGATTCAACTTGAAATACACTTCATGCCTGCGTGGCTTGACGAGGACCCCAGGCATGTTGGATGACTGTTCATGTTTAATTAGCACGGGGAAAAGTGTCATGAAGTGTAAGAAAGTTCTTTGCCTTTACCTGATGCTACAGCAGCTCACTGCTGAAGCGTGCTGATGAAATTCTTCATGCGTCTGCATTGCAGACTCTTCCTGGAGTGAGTTTAAGAACTCCTTAAAAATAGTGCAGTTTTTGTTTGCTGGCTTGGATAAACTCACTGTTAGAACATGCAGGGAGCACTTTGCAGATGGCTGAATTGGTGCAGGTGAGGTAGTGACAGGCTGTAGTATGGGAGCAGGAGGGCGCATGTTGTGGTGGATGAGTGACTGAGAAGGGAGAGATCTTCAACAGGGCTGGCCATGGTTACAAGACCAGTTGTGAATCTGTACCACTTGTGCAGGTCTCTACAGATGTGTGAGTTTTGAGCTGCTGTAATTACCTTCTCTGCCTTCTATTGTACGGTCATTCTTTTATTTCTGTGATGTTTCCAGTACTTAAGAGTCTACAGCAAAAGTTTCTTAGAACTCTATGGTGTTGCCAAACGTTTGAGACGACATACGGTAAGGATGCATGGTTTCTGTAGGGAAGTGAAATTCTTGACAGCGATCAAGAAGACGTGTTGCATTCTCAGTACTCTGGCTTATTTTGCAGCCAACACTGCAAAGATGCTAACAAGATTTCTTATAAACAGCATCAATATATATTTGGGATCTCCAGTACAGAGCAGCACAAGCTAAGTGTTCGAGCTACTTCTTCAAGTATGATTAATGTGACTAGTATACAGACATCTTAAAACTCAGGATAGAATTAGGCTTCCCCATGTCTGTTTTCTTCTGATATTGCTTGTTTAGGATCCCCATTAAATTTGGTTATGTAGGAGTGGAGTCCTGAATTGTGTGAAAGCATGAAAATATAATTGAGATTTATGGGCAGTCCTCATTGTGCATTTACGATCTGTGCATTGCTTTAGAAAAGTAACTGAGTAAACGATACAAGTATTATGATTGACTCAAGGAATGAGACTGCAGTGAGTATTGGTTTATGAATTTTCCTTGTAACCAAGAGGTTGCTTTAGCCAGATCTTTTGTTGTGAAGGGATGGGGGAGCGGGGTTGTTGGTGTATACAAGTTAAAATCTTAAGATGTTTTTCATGGGTTTTATACACATCCCAATGAACAGTTCTAAATTCTTCAGAGGTATAGGAAATTCTTTGACACTGCTGGCAGTGATCAAGGTATTTACACTTATTTATACCTTGTATACTCAAATGAGTTTCTATTCTAATCTTATTAATATGAGAACTTTTTATGTACTTGGAAACAAATGATAACATAATTTGGATTAAAATTGTATTGCTTTACCTGATGTTTTATGGCAAAACTGACAGGCTGTTTATTTTTGTAATCTCATAGGGACTTAAGTCACAACAAATTATCTTCAATCAAGACCAGTCTCTTGGATCACCTCCATAGTCTTCAGGAAGTGTAAGTTAATTTGTCTTAATTAAAAAAAAACCCGACAAAAACAAACCCCCTCCCCACCCCAAAAACCCCAACAAAACCCAACCAAGCCGAAAAACCCCAACCAAAAAAACCCAACCAGTATTTGTGTATGCTAATTGTATAGATATGTTGCTAGGGATAATTGGTTGAACAAAAAAGATGTTTGCTGTTCTGATACGTTACATTAAATGAAACTGGAATTATTTTTGAATTTTGGGGTGACACTGTTTGGCAATTTAGCAAGTCCAATGTACCTGTTTCTGATTAACATCAAAGCTGACTCTCCCTTTTTTGATATTAATAGGAAGTTGAACAACAATGAACTGGAGGTCATTCCAGATCTGGGACCAGTCTCTGCGAATATAACTCTTCTGTCTTTGTAAGTAGAACTTAGTCTTGTCCCTAGTTAGTGGAACTAACTCTACAGAGTTCTTGGAAATATGTGCATTACAGAGATTAAAGTGAAATAATTGGAAATAGAGCAGCTTGTGGTTAGGAAGTTGATTATGTCATATTATTTAGCAGGTTGTTTAAAATGTGTATAATTGAGCTTAATCCTTGTAGTTTTTATGCTTCCCTTAGATACAAAGACTGCATTAGAATTAATTTATGTTGTGGTAGTGCCCAGAAGCCTCAGCCCTGTTGTGCTAGGCACTGTACAAACATTAGTAAACGTTACACAAACTTGTACAATGTAGACTTTAAAACAAGAGTTATACTCTATCATTATGCATCTTGGCTGAAATCCCACTTGCGTTAAATCATGGCAGAATTCCCTTAATTTCAGTGGGCAGTATGGGGAAATCCCCTCGAGACGCAGCTTCAGGACAAGTATCTAGGTTAGAATATGCTTTGCCAATATCTTTACAATGTCTTTTTGAGCTCATTTGAATGTGTGGCATAATTTTTTTATGGCTGCAGTTAATACATATAATTGTGACACATGATTATGTCTATGTTCATTGTTTTGTTTGAAAGAAATTAGGAGGTTACTTGATGTGGGATCTGTAATATGGGTATAAAGTTGCAAAAGGCATACAGGGCCCATAACCAAACCAGTTGATTTTAAAGGAAATTTTATTCCTGAGGTTTTCACTTGAAATCAGCTTGATTTTTTTTCCTATAATCTAATTTCTCTAAAATGTTGAAGGAACTGCTAACAAAAATAGTTACTATCATACTATTAATTGGAAAAAAGAAAAGACATGTTTTTTGTGTGTGGGATTTGTGTTTTATCAATGGGAATCTAAAGTGTCTAAAGCTAGTTATATGTAGCCCTCTGGCCAAATCCTGCCCTTGAATACAAATTGCAAGTTACCTTTCTTGGAAGAAACCTGAAGGGTTAAAACAATACAGTAAACTTCGGAAAGCTGTTCAGTTAATTAAATTGATCACTGTTCAATTGCTTACATCTGGTGATTTGTAGGGGTTTGTTTTTACTCTAGGCCCAGGTCAGCTAAGTCAGCTGGTGCAGCCGCTGTGTCTGGACTGCTCTGTTTGAATAAGAACTAAGTGACATTTGATACTGATGTGGTTTCTTAAAGATCAGAATCAGAAAAGAATGAAAGAAAAAGCAGATGGTGTCTGACAAATAGCTGTTGAATTTAAGCATATCTTCTATTTTGCGTTAGTGTTGACTTTATTTTTACACTGGCATAGCATTCTGTAGTTTAAGCATCTAATTGATCTGAAGAATTTTTTTTCTTTTCTTTTTTTTTTTTTTTAATACCACCTTGCTAAGGTTCTTTTTACCACAAGGTTGGAAATACTAACATAATAAAGTGGTTTATATATCCTCCTGTCTTACTTCTGATGAATACAAAGTTGAGAATTTGTCTTAGCATCTCCTCTAGTCTTTCTCATGGAAACTTAACTAATTTAGATGAACCTAAAATCATCCTGCAGCTGTGCAAAGATATTTGTATTCCTTCGAGAGAATAAATGAAAATCAGTCACTGCAGGACTGGTTGTTCCATATCCTTAGGTCACTAGCTTGGTTCATTTATTCAGGTGGTGAAACATGGAAAACCTTTGTTAGATCTGTGCTCTGCACTGTGTATACTGCCACTTAAAAGGAAAAAAAAAGTATTTCTAAAAGCTGTTATCATACTAACAATGCAGTTAAAGCTGGTCTGGTTGGGTGCTAGCTTGTTCTTATTCTAATTTCCATTACTTCTGTGTGGTGTTGGGAGATTACTGAGTAGGTGTGCTCCAGCTGAGATTTAATACCTATGTTATGACCACAGCAGAGATTCCTTGATATCAATATGGTAGAAATAATTCATTAAGTAATTTGAAGGTTTCACGTTAACTTATGAGTGTCAGTGTATAATAGTTAAGACAATTGTTTGTTCCGTTTCAAAACGGATTTATGTAGAACATAAAATTATAGAGTGGTATTGCATTGTTCAAAAAATAAAGCAAAGGTTTCTCTTCAAAACATAGAATAGAATCATAAAATCATAGAATCGTTTCGGTTGGAAAAGACCTTTAAGATCATCAAGTCCAACTGTTAAACTAACACTGTCAAGTCCACCACTAAACCATGTCCCTAAGCACCACATCTTCACTAAATCCCTCCAGGGAGCGTGACTCAACCACTTCCCTGGGCAGCCTGTTCCAATGCTTGACAACGCTTTTGGTGAAGAAGTTTTTCCTAATATCCAATCTAAACCTCCCCTGGCGTAACCTCAGGCTGTTTCCTCTTGTCCTATCACTCACTCGGGAGAAGAGACCGACCCCCATCTCACCACAACCTCCTTTCAGGTAGTTGTAGAGAGTGAAAAGGTCTCCCCTCAGCCTCCTTTTCTTACAGGTTGGAAGTTATTTATGGAAATATGTTATATTCTTTTATGTAGAATGAGATTTAAATAAAGAGGAATAGACATACAGCAGTTGTCTGGCATAAAAATAATATAGATGGAAAATAAATAATGATAAAAATAATCATAGATGGAAAAATATTCAATCTAATGGGTTTTTTTAGAAGTGAAAAAATATGTTCAGTTATTTTTTTCTGTGTTGGATGTTATTTGGAGGAGTTGAATCAAACTGAGTTAATATAGCTAAGTCATGCAAAAAGAACACATGTGGAACAATTAGAATATAATTTTTAGAACCACTCTTCAAAGAATAACTGTACTCAAAACATCTGATGACTTTCTTCAGGATTTTAAACTTTTATATGAAAGGAGCTTGTGGAGCCTTTCCAAAACAAACGACTGTTTCCTTGTTGAGTCTTTGCTCTGACTTTCAAATAATAGCAGAAAGGAGGGTGCTAGTCTTCTGAAACTTGATTTGGTTACATTTCTTATGAGATCATATACATTGGTTCATTACTGTTGGTTGAGAAGCCAGTTGTTTTTTTTCCAAGGAGTCTTCAAGGAATGCCAGTGCTTTCACTTCTTAGTACTTGTCATTCAGCTGTGGAGCCTTAGAATTTTACCTGTTCCGCAAGAATTTTCTTGCCCTGCAGAGGAAATTACACTGCTGATATGTCTACAGTGAAAAATAGTGCAGGTATCTCCATACAGCACTGTATGTCTAAATTCTTCGAGCAGTATAAACAAGCATGGGTGGATTATCATGTTAGTGTAGTTTCCATTTCTGGAGCTACCTCAATTCTCGCTATCTAATTGATATTTATCTAGCTTAGATGTTTGCATACTGTTGAATTATGCAGGGTAAACATCCCCAGAGCAGTAGATGTTCCCAGTCTCATGGTCACGCTCTGTCTGTAACATGAAACAACAATGCCAACATTTTGTTTTTATGGATACCAGTTGGGAGTTGAACACCATGGGAGAGAAAAGTATCAAGCAGCAGCCCCCCCCCATGGGAAGACCATATGTCTGCGTAAGGGGAGTATACAAGCACATGCAGGCAGACTCTCATTATGATTTTATTCACGTGATGAGTATGTATCTTGTCACATGGCATAGGAGAGCTTCTGAGTCTCCTGGGGATCTGGAAACTGTTGTGAACTAAATGGCTGGTACATTGGGCTAAGTCTGGTCAGGAGGCTTTAGGTTGTGAAGCTGTGGTGGCTTGCCTGACACTAACAGATATAATATGTTCCAGACAAAGAATAGGATTCATTTTCTCTACCCTAAATTCTTGAAAGGTTTTGACATTGTAAATACGAGTTACTAACTGTAGATCCTCTTCAGGCTGAGTGGAGAGGAAAAGGCTCTCTGAAGTGATTTGTCTTCTCTAAGATAGTTCAGATGATTTTCCTACTGAAGCCCATCTAGATACCTATTTTAAACTAAGTTTTAGATGTCTAAAGTTAGGTTCTTTTTGAAATATCTAGCCAATGTACTTGGGCATGCCTGTTTTACAGTGGTGTTACTTGCAAAGGTCTGATTGCATCTTTCAGCATGTTGAACCATTTAAGTCAATTATTGGAAATTAAAATTGCAGGGTGTTCTTTTTGCTCAGCCACCCAGCCCTTTGCTCTGACTTCTGTGAGAGTAGGCAGGAACAGAGCAGTTTATCAAGGCAGAAGTAGAGAAGTTCAGCCATTTGCCAGAGACTGCCAGGTCTCCAGTCAGCACAGTAGCTCTAGCCAGGAGGCCAGGTCCCCCCAAGTGCTGGACAACATAAGCTTTTGGGGAGAGTACTGGATTTAACAACCGATTACCACAAATATATAGTGTACAGATGCTACATGCAGTAATGTAGGTGTATTTATCTATCCCTAGAAGTAAAATATGTTAGACGTTTCCTAATTTGCATTCCTGAAGTGCTTGTAAAAACAGTTAAATTAATGTAGAATTGCTTTGAATGGTTGTGGTAGAAAATTCTGCAGCTCTGGGAGAATAAACAAGTTACTTTTCATTGTTTCTAGATAGGTGGATTGCTTTTGTGTCAAGTAGAGAAATGGGCACTAATGCCCTCGTTCCAGGAGAACAAGCAATTTGGTTCCCATTCTAATGGCATTCCTTTTCCAAGATGTACCAGTCCTGTCCTGTTTATCCTGAAAATCTGTGATGTTGATACATGAGAAGAAAACTAGTATTGCCTTTTAGGTCTGTTGTTGCTGTAAAGTATTGTACCTAGGTTGAATCCAGAAATAGATTGAAACCGAGTAATATAAGTACAATAGCCTTGTACAGAAGTCCTGCATGGTGTTTAACTACCACCTACCATTTGCATAGGGTTTTACTTTAAAACTTAAGAAAATGTTAACTGCTTTTAGTGTGTTTAGTGCTTTGTAAGGAAGAACAACAGTGATTTGCAAATGCTGCAACATATTTAAGGTGATGTTTATGGATACACAGTTTAAATAAGAAACGCATGCTACTTTACTTGCAGAATTTTTAAAAATCCATAATCGTAGACATCACCCAACATCATCAGTGTTGAGTACTGTGGAAA